GTATAGCTATAGCTATTCTAGTATTAAGTTATATTTTCTAATCTCTAGTATATAGAAACGGATTAATTCCGTATAGTTTAGGTAGTAGAGGGTCACGCGTATAGAGTGCGTAATTTTTCCTTTTTTTAGTTATTTTCCGTTAAATCTAGTTAGGTATAAAATAATTAGTAGCAGGTTAAAATAAAGGTTCTATACGCGCGCTAGAAATCTGTAAATATAACCTATACTAGTAGCTCTGCTATTAATTAGAGCTTAGGTATTTAATTATATAGAACCTTACTATAGGGAAAATAGAGTAAGGATTTATTATTTCTAGGAGTTAACTATAGGTTTTTCGAATAAATTTATAGAAATCCGGGGTTAGAATAGTTCTAGAGGGCGATTTAGGCCCGGAACTAAGCTTTTAATAGCTTTTTTATACGGGACTAGTATTTTTTTCTAGAATAATTAGAGCTAGAAAATAAGTTTATAGATATAGATAAATAGTATATAGGTAAAAACTAGGGCAGGCTTATAGCTTATATATATATGCGTAGACTTAAGAGCCTATCTAGGCTAAATAATCGGACTTATAGTAATAGTATAGAGTAGTTATAGAAAATATAGCTATACTTACTATACTTATAGTAGAGGCTTTTTTAGCAGTATTCTTTTTATTCGGCAGATCTAGCCGGGGCGTAGTTTAATACCTTAATTTCTATTATATTTAGGTTCTTCTAAGCGGAAGGTTAATAATAAAAGGGATAGTTAGCTAGTAGGTATTAGAGATTATTATTATATGCAGAAATTAGGTTAGTATATTTATTTATATTATCTGGAATATAAATACCGACTATAGCTCTATATAGCTCGTCCGATAATAAGCGTTAGAGTTAGGTTATTAAACCGATTTCGTTAAGGCCTATATTAGCAGTAAGGCGTTGGAATTTAGTAAAGTAAGAAATAAAGCTACGTTTTCCTTATTTTAGCGAGTCGAGTTTACTTAGGGCAGTAAGTTCCTTATTAGAATTATTATATATAGCCTGTAGAAATAATATAAATTATTCTACTATTATATATCCTAATCTATTAAAAAATCTATTAGTATTAATAGGTTATACTTTAGATAAAAATACGTGTATAGCAGGTGGGCTTGTTTAGTAGGGTATTAGTCCGCGTTTTCTTCTAGTTTATATTATAGTTTTCGGATAAAGCTAAGAAGTTTCTTTTAGCGGCCGTTAAATATTAAAGGGTTAATTAATCGGTCGGATTTCTAGGTAGGCAGGTTAGAATATATCGGGAAGGTATTAGAAAAGGGAGAAGGTATAACCTTAATAGTTAGGGTCTATATATAGTTTATAGGGGCGATAGGCTTTAAGCTATTATTTAATTTATAAATAGTATTTTCTATAGATTATTAGTTAGGCGTAGGCGGTATAGAAGAAAAGGATTAGAACCGGATCGTTAATATTTCCTTTTATAGCACTGCTATTTCTTCCGTAAAAATAGATTATTAGCGCTATAGAGCTTTTATAAAGGCAGATTATTAGTTCTGCAGGGCTTTTATAAATAAGGATTATACTATAGTAAGCTATTCCTTTATAGAAGAAACTAGCTCTATAAGTATAGTAGTTAGGTTATTTGGGGTTATTATAGTAGTAAAGGGATATAATATAATATTACGCTAGCGCTATAAGCAGGAGTTTAAGGGCTTAAAAAAAAAGCGTTAATTAAGTGCTAGGTATAATACTACGTGGAGAATTAAGATATTATATAAAAAATAGGAAATAAAAAGCACCGGTAAAGAAAATATACCGGCAGGATATATATATAGCGCGAGCTTATAAGCTTTATATAAGATTAGGTAACAAAGCTATATAATAGGCGAATTATAGTAGGTAAAGTATTGCAGGTAGTTATTATAATAGTGCAGTTCTATTACTATACTTACTATATAGACAGCCTTTTATATAGCTTTCCTATTTTATACAGCCCTTTATTTAGCCTACCTATATTATACAGCGTTATATACAGCTATATAGCTATATACCTAGCCGTATAAAAAGGCTAATTCTAATAGAATTAACTTCTCTTATACCTTTATATATACTTCCTTATTAGCTAAATATATAAAGCTCTAGTTCTATACCTTTAAAAACTTCTACCTCTACTATTTATACTAAAAGTAGTCCCTCTAGGCACCTAAATAAGTTTCCTCTACTTCTAGAATCTATTAAAATACTACTAAATTTTAACACTATACTTCTAGACTAGTACTAACCTTTTTAAATAAACTATAGCTATACTTAGGCTCTTTTATACCTTTTTAGAAGTAATAGGTATAGATTTTAAACCTCTAATTATACCGGAATTTTATTCCCTCTATATAAAAAGTAATTAATTAGATACCGGCTTACTACCTTCTAAAGCTATTTAGGGGTAAGTAGTTTAACTTATTAGAGAAGGCTATTAAGCGCTATATAGACTACTTTTTCTTTAAAGGCTTTTTTATAGTATAGAACTCTAGGTTTATTAAGCCTATATTTAAAGTAATAGTAGTTTAGATAGTATATAAATACTATAGTTTAGAATTATATAACTATTATAGGCTTACGGATTTTAAAAAAAAAGGCAGTTAGTAAAGGAAAAGAACTATAGTAAGTAAGTTTAACTGTATATAAAGTATATATATCTCTTAGAAATATATAGTAAAAAACTAAAAGAAAATAAGCTAAATAGCTACGATTATATGCCCGGATTATATTTAAAAAGCCTTTAATATAAAGGCAGCTTACTTAATAATACCTAATTTTTTTATCTATATTACCTATAGAAATTGCTAGCTAGACGCCTATAAAGCTATAAAGAAGGCAATTAAACTCCGGCGAACTAATAAAATATAGAGAACTGCTTAGCGTTAACTAAGCCTATAGGAATTAAGTATATCTAAACGGAAGTTCTATAACCTAGCCTAAAAGCTGCATACTTTTCTATCTAACCGGTATATAAAAAAGAATACTCTATCCCATAGCGGTAAATGGAACCAGCCCTTATTCTATTTATTTGTTAAGGATAGAAAATACCAGACCAGGGCGTAGATTTAGGCACGGGGCTTATTCCATTTATTTTTTAGAGGCAGGTTCTATTTATGTCCCGCAGCCGGAATTGCACCAAATTTTAGTATATTATTCAGCGCATTTAGTTGCACCCCCTAGCCGATTTGCATTAGGTTAACCCGTGTGGTTAGTTAGGGTTAGGTGGAAGTTGTGGTGTTCGCAGAACCGCCGCGACCGCGACCGAGCGCGCAGCAGAACACCACCAGCCGTGGCCATATACACCACACGAATATTAGCAGCGGCACCGAACCAATGCCTATAGGAGGCAGGCGTGGTTAACATCCAACAATAGCGTATTAGGTGCAGGCAAGGAAGGTATAGCAGCAAATAAGGTAGCTACGGGCCCAATTTTTAGTTGGGGACGAGAACTTTAAGCCCGGACGTATATGTTGGCGCAGATCCTGTGCAGTTGTGCATAGATCCCGCGCAGGCATAGTTGTGTTGTAAGTTAGGCTACAGTTATAATAGTTTAGCGGGTGGTTAGGGTGATTAGCAACCGCAGCAACCGTGGCAGCGAGGCGAAAAGGGGGTGGAAATTGCACCCAGCAACCTATAAGTAGCACTCGTCGCCGCCTATTAAATATTAAGCAAGAGTTAATTCTAGAGGCAGACTAAGTGTTTAAAATGGCCAAATCCAGTACTAAGAGCAGGTATTTTAAGTATTTAGCCGAATTCCAATTAGCTATTTATAAGAAGTGCAGGCATGGCGTATAGCTAGACCAGATTAAAGGCTATTTACAAAAGATCTATAAGGTACCGCGCAAAAAGGCCGATTTAATTAGAGAAGGTGTGCGCAAATAGCCCGGAGTTATCCAGTATCTAAGTAAGTTTAAAATGCCGGACAGTATTATAGCGCCAGTTAGCCAGTTGCTGTTGTATTCGGATAGATTATTATATTAACTAGAACCAGGCCGTTGCCGTTATATATCGCGGAGCATTAGGGCGATAAGGAAGTATTAGCAAAAGATCTATAGGTGGTTAGCAGGAAGAAAGCCAGGACGGCCAAGTCGATTAGGAGAAAAAAAGGTGCAGGCACGCATTGAAAAGGCATTTAAACACGTCTATTGCCAGCGGTTTTTTGTACAAGGCCACGGATTACAGTATTTTAAAGTGCGACAACCCAGGTAAGGCTAGGAAGCCAGGCCAGAACCTATTCCCGTTAACAGCAAGATTGCATAGGCGCAGTTAGGGAAGAAGATGGCAGAGGCGTAGGCAAATATAGAGAAGTAAGTCTAAATAACCATCTAGGCCGGCGAGAGAAACAAGGTAAACCCGTGGTTAGAGCGGACGCAGTGGTTGCTGTATTTAGTGGGCATAGAGAGGCCGGATTTATTAGCATATATTAAGGAGCTAAACGCAGACCTAAAGCAGGAGGAGGAACCCGTTAAAGCCGCAATTTAGGAGGCTATAGACAGGTTAGCGCGGTTTAGCCAGGTATCGGTTATTAATCGAGTCGGCGTATTTATGCGGTTAGAGGCAATTTAAACAGAGAAGCACCAGACGCGGTACTAGCCGTTGCAGCCGTATATGGACGAGAAGTCGATTAGCGAACACACCCGGCCGTGGAAGCAGATGTTAATATTTTTTGCCTGTACGCAGCGCGAGCACGAGTAGGAGAGCCCTAAGTACCGGTTTACGCGGCAGTAGCAAGAGGCGTAGGAGGCGTTAATTAAGCAGGCCGAGCGAGAGGTGGAGGGAGAGGACAAGACGGAAGAAAAGGAAGAGGATAAGATAGAAGAGGAGGAGGATAAAATAGAAATTAATAAGATAGATAGCGATAAGGAGCAGGGAATAGGAGATAGCAGGCCTAAGAACGCCAGCAGTAAGCCAGAAGGGTTAACAGGCATCTAGAAGGCGTGTTTGCAGTTTTATATTAAGTTGCTAAACTAATCCATCACCCGCAAGGAGTATAATAGCCTGTTAGTATATATATTAGCGGTGTTAGGTGTTAAAAAGGACGGCTGGAAGGGCCCCGAGTTGTATCCGCCTATTTTATTAGCCGTTATTAAGGTCACCCGTTTTATAGTGGTTCAGCAAGCGTTAGAGTTATTAGAGCCGTTTTAAGATAGCGAGTTTAACAGCAATAGTGCGTACGAGAGCGACAACAGCAGCACGCCGTCCTAGTAGCAGCAGAAAGGATGTTTGCAGTTTATTTAAGAGATAATAGATAAGTTTATAGTCCGAGGGAGCTACAGGCCAATATAGTAGATATTGGATTTGCGGATATACAGGTTAAAGATCTATTATAACAGCATATTAAAAGGCTATGTTAAATAGATAGGCTACAACAAGTTATTATATAAGGGGTTGTATTTTAATATAGCCTAGTTCCGCAGTATAGTATACAGGTTAGTTATAGAGAGCTAACGGTTATTATTAGAAGAGCTGTTGTTTTTTAATAGCGGGATTTTAGCATATACACATGCTAAAATCCTGCTACCTAGTAAACGGAACAAGATAACTAATTAAGTGCCCGTAATCCTATAGAGTGAATTACGGGACAATCCAATAGATAAGCAACCGGGATGGAATTTTTTAAAGGACTATTAAACGCGGTTGCCTATTAATAAAGAGACATAGTTATTCAATTATATCGGACGCAATCCTGTAACCTAAGGAAGGTTTTTAAAGGCAGAATACCGCTCGGGTATTAATTAATAAGGAGTTAAGCAGTACATGTCACGCGTAATCGAATTCCGAGAGAAGTTAATTATATTAATGTATATATTAGGGAGGCAGCTAGCATAAAAACCCGAGGTTTTAAGTATTCGGCACAGTAATATAGTAAAGGGCGGGCATCGCAACATATTTATTAAGGACGGCATAGTGGTATTTATAACGCGATACTATAAGGGTTATACAGTTAGTGGCGATATTAAGATTATCTATTAATATATACTGCGCGAGGTGGAGGAGTTATTAGTATAGTATTTATAGTTAGTATTGCCGTTCCAGCAGCAATTAAAGGCGATAGTGTAGGAGAAAGAGGCAATATTATCGCATTTATAGCCGGCCGACCTAAGCGGGCGTAAGTAGACGTCGGAACGGTTGCAACAGGCGTTAAAGCGTAAGAGCAGGGTTAGGTTAGAGCAGGAGCTAACTATCTAGTTATACTGTAAAATTGCTATTAGTATTAGCAGAAGGTTTATGCGCGGTTTAACGGTGTTTAGGGCAGAGGATAATAATAACAATAAGAAGTGGAATAAGGAGAATATAGCAGCAGCAATTGCAGACGAGCAGGCCGGGCATATATCGCACGTTGCCGGGTTAGTGTATACGCGAGCAATTATAGAGCAGGCAGGAGCGGTGGCCGATAAAAGGCAGCAGTTCCGGGCATTAAGCATAAATTAGCATCGGTTTTTAGGATATTAGTCGGCTGTTAATAATAAGTTTATATTAAAGAAGCGGAAGCGGGCTCCGTTTAAAAGCGAAGCAGATAAAGGTTAAAAAGATTAATAGGCGCGGTTAAGGAAGATAGATATAGCGGCACAGTTAAAGCGGATAATAGGTATAGAGGCGGTGTTCCGAGGCGTGCAGGAGGACGCAATCGCGATAATTACGGCAGGCGAGAGCCCGGTAGTAGCAGTAATACCAACTAGTGCAGGAAAGAGCTTATTATTTATATTACCAGCGTAGGCAGAGTAGGGTAGAATAACAGTAGTTATAGTGCCGTTAATTGTATTATAAGGGGATATAAAGCGGCGATACAAGAAGCTAGGTATTTTATGTAAGGAATAGGAAGGACGGCACCCTCTAGATACAGCAGCCGTTATATTAGTAACGCCGGAATCCGCCGTTAGTAAGGGATTTATAACGTTTTTAAATCGATTAAAGGCAACGCAGCAGCTGGATCGGATTATTATTAACAAGTGTTATATTGTTTTAAACCGTTAATATATATTCTAGAAGCAGATGCAGCAGTTAGGCAAGCTAGTAGCGGCCGAGACGCAGATAGTGTTATTAACCGCAACGTTGCCGCCGATAGAAAAAGGGGAATTATATTAAAGAATACATTTCCAGAGGGAGCAGGTAAAGATATTTAGGGCGAGGACAGCACGAGTAAACATAGCATATTATATAGTTCGAGTAGATAGAAAAGGAAAATAGGAGATAGAAGAAGCGGTTTTAGGGATAATTTAAAGGAAAATTCAGAGGATTTAAACCGGGAAGGTAGTAGTATATAGTAGCACGGTTGGAAAAGTAAAGAGGATAGCGCAGGCGTTGGATTACAGCGCGTATTACTATAACGCAGTAGGTAAAGCAAGTATATTAAGCGAGTTTATAGACAGCAAGCAATAGGTAATTATAGTAATAAGCGCGTTGGGTATAGAGGTGGATATACCGGATATTCAGTACATTATATATATGGATCGGCCGCGAATATTGTTAGATTACGCACAGGAAAGTAGCAGGGCGGGGCGGGACGGATTACGGAGCAAGGCGATTATAGTTAAAAAAGGGGGTAAAAGAAGAGGTAAAGAAAATAAGTAGATAGAAGAAGAGCGGCGGTTAGTAGGGTTATATATAGAAGGGGAAGGTAAGATAGAAAAATATAGGAGGATTGTATTAGACGGGTATTTAGACGGGCGAGGGGATAAAAATAGGTGCAAGGAAGGCGAAGAGTTATATAATATTTGCGGCGGAGTAGAAAAGGAGGTGGAAGAGGTGGAAGAGGAAATAGAAGAGGCCGAGGAAAAGGTTAAAGAAAAGGTGGGCGGGCAAGCGGTATAGGAGGAGAATAATAAGGTTATATAAGAGAAAATATAGCGCAAGTTCCAGCAATAGGAGCAGAAGAGACAGGGCCTATTAACCTATAGGTAAAACATATCGTAGTATATGCCATATTATGATTTAAAACTGAACCGTGCGCTGCAACAATATAATTTAGAAACGAAAATCAAATTATACCGTGGCAAACCCCAACCGAATTTGCTAGTTCCAACGCTGCAGGCAAGTTATCGACTATTGCGCATTAAATGCACCATTCGGATTAACGATGCGACCGTTGGATTATGTTGTCGTCGTCGCGTTAGGGTAGTTAAGGTTGTGATAATATTCGTGGCCGTGCGCAGCGATCGCAGTTAAGGCGCGAACGTAGGAGGGTAGTTAAGTACCCAAAGTTCGTAATAGATGTAGTCGTTGCAAGCTATTTGCAAGCCCCAGGTACCCGGAAATTAGGACCCACTATGCCACCAGTTGCACCCAGGCATGCAAGGTTGTAGATGGATCCCCTAGATGCATAGTTAAGTAACGGGTGTAACAATCTAGGTAGCTAAGAGCAGGAGGCGTTGGGAAGGGTCTAAGTAGCGGTGAGAGTAGTTAAAAGCACGTCCGGCCGCTATTAACACAGCGATTAACACGTTTATTAATTATCTATTATCTAATATTCCATTATCCCATTATTATATTAAACCGTGAATCCGTTACAGCAATTATTGTAGTAATCGTATTAAACGCCATGGAATAATTCACCCGAATTTTCGAGCATATCCCGCAGTACCGCATTGTAGTTTACCGAGTTTGTAGCTATAGCATTACCAAGACGCAGTTATAAATGCATTTAACTAAGCACTACTAGGAATTAACATCAGCAACACGAAAATCTATATAAGAGGCCGTAGCAGATATAGAAGATTGGGCCCAGAACAATAGGCAGGTTGTTTTCCCAGCACCCACCGCTAAACCCGTGCCGTATTTACCTATTTAGCATAACGGATTAAAATATTTAGGAACCTATGAAAACAACCAGCCGTATAGAGCTATAGTGCGCGGTTTGCAGAATATATAGACCTATTATAAGAAGGAGCATAGGTGGGAGAATCCGCGAAAGCGAGGATGTTATTACTAAAGGCAGCAGAGTATTATACAGCGGGCGAAAATGTGGGAAGTTGGCGTGTATTGCTAGAAATTTAGCAGCAAGGCGTTGTTAGCCCGATTGTTCCAGGTAAACGCGCACAACCTAGCCGCCGAGAGAGAAGAATAGAAGGATCCTATCTAGGAGGCATTAGAGGCTGTATTTACACAGGCAATAATTAATATTAAGAGAGCTAATAAGGAAGCGAGCAGTTAGATCCAGGCCGACAACAACCGATTCGAGGTTAATGCATAGTTGAACCGCGCCGGATAGGCAAAGTATTTAAAGAGATTAGATAGCGAGTGGTTGGAGTTGTTAATGCGCAAGCCCGAGAAGAGAGAGGAAGCGTTGGCCAATTTGTGTTTTGCAGTTAAAATAGTAATTTAGAAGGCGCAGCAAGCATCTAAAGCCAGTATAGTTAGATTAGCAGCTATAAATTACATTAATCGACGTGAAACCGGCAATAAAACAAACAAGAAGCCGTTCAGCGCACACCAGACGGGCAAGACAATAGTTAAATACAGCGCGTATTAGTTAGCTATTATCTATTACGTTTGGAGAACCTGCAGAATAGAGCCGATTTGCAGCGAGGAGATAGAAAAGTTGGAGAGTAAGGGCGATATCTAGAACTAGAGGCTAGTATTTAGGTTAACAGGTAAACAGGGGTTAGCGTTGGCAAAGATCGAGATAATAGTAGGGCAGGATGAAGAGGAGGATAGCAATAATAGTAATATTAGCGACGACAGCAGTAATAGCAACAACAGTTATATAATTAACGAGGAGGAGTAAGAGAGGTTAGAGGAGGCCGTTTTAGCATTTATGTTAGCGTTGTTGGACCACCTATTCACGGACAATAAGTACACCAGCGTATTAATTAGCGGCATGGCCGTTTTAGGCATTAGCCAGCGATGCGGTTAGGAAAGCGCGTTAATATACACGCCTAAGATTGCAGCTATTGTTAATATATCCCGTATATTGGTTTTATATTAGGCTATAAAGATATGTAAAAAGCGCGCGGCGGATATATAATAGAAGGAGCATTTCAGCCAGAAAGACGCCGAGGAAATGGCGCCGGCGCATTTTAAATTTGTGTAAGAAATAGCAGACCGGTTTATAACGTTGGTTTAATATAGCAGAATGCTGCACCCCGTGGATTAGTTGCAGCGGTTAAAGGCGTATAGGATAAAGATCCGGTACACTACTAATGCTAAGGGCGTAATTAAGTAGATGGACAATACGTTGTTGTATAGTAATATTCGATTTAGCATGCCCTAGTTGCGTTCGATGGTCCACAGGTTAGTGGAGACAGCCCGGGTCGAGTTGCACCGGGATTTATTATTGTTGGAAAAGGTCGATTAAGTTGTGCGGGGGCTGTTAAGTGGACAGGAAGCTGTTGCATTGCCAGCTATTAATTGGGCGCATTTAGTAGATAACCTAGCCGAGCAACAGTCGGGATAGAGTTTTATTAAGAACCCGCGAAATTAAGAGTTAGGATTCGGGGGCGTGTATGGAAAGAGGTGGTTAAGTAATTAGGTCAGCCAGGAGCAGAAGATTAGGGAGAGGTTTATTAATATTGGAGCCAGCAACCCAGCAGCCGCTATAGCAGCAAAAGGCAAGCAAGGGTTAGTATGGAAGGGGAAGGAGATCAAGAAGTATGCATAAGCGATGCGAGTATTCCGGCAGTATTTAGCAGCGTTGGTGCACATAACGGGTGGGTTGCCAGCGCGTGGAATAGAGTTAATAACAGTGCAGCATCGAAACAGCCCGAATAGCAATAGTAGGGGGATTTTTATTAAGAACGGGTTAGTGGTATATATAACGGCATACTACAAAGGCATAGGAGTTAGTGGAAAGGCTAAGGTTATCCACCGATATTTGCCACGCGCGGTGGGCGAATTAGTGGTGTATTATTTGTAGTTAGTGTTGCTATTTTAGTAGAGGTTAGAAAGTGCATAGGGCGGTTAACCAGCAGAGATTAGTCCATTTATATAGGAGCCTAAGCCCGAAAAGGGTTAGACAATACTACAGAGGAAGCAGAGGCGGGTTTAAATTAATAATATAGCAAGCGCAGAAGATAAAGAGGACGAAGAAGAGGAGGATAAAGAGAAGAATAAAGAGCAAGGAGAAGAAGAATGCAAAGCAATAGAAGAAACCGAAAACATTGCCGAGAATAAAGGGGGAAAGAACACAGTCCTGTTACCTAAGAAATGGAATTCCAACCGTTTAAAGATAGCATTGCAAGGAGCGTTGTTGCGATAGATAGGGGTTAAGTTAAATATTATAGCATAGAGACACGGCACCAAGGCCATATACCGTCGATATATCAATTCTAAGGCGGTTGTAAAGGCGGTGGTGCAGGGCGATAAGGATAATTCGGATAACGAAGACAAAGCATTTAATATCTAGACCGGCCATAGATCTAGGATTAGAGGGGGAATATATAGTCGGTCGATTATAGAGTCGATATTCAGCACCAAGGCAAGGAGGGCACAGTTGCGGAGGGTTAGCACAGAGTGGCATTAGTTTTTGCAGTTCCCGTGCGCGATGCAGACCAAGCTGAAGAAAGGAACCCGCGCGGCAGCTAACAGAAAGGAGGCCATTAAGAAGGAATATTAACGGTGGAAGATAATAAGATTAGTGGATATAGAGTAGTAGTTAAAAGCGTTGGTAGGTAAAAAGGCCGAATTTTGGGGCGTGCAGAGACCAGTATTAAAGGCTATTATACACTATAAGAGCCCGGTAGTTGCTATTATAGGCATAGGTGGAGGTAAGAGCGTGTTGTTTATATTGCCAGCATTGTATTTAACAGGCGTAACGGTAGTAGTTATGCTATTAGTGTTATTGCAGGAGGATATAAAAAGCTGTTGCAATAAAGCCGGCATCGGTTGCGTTGAATAGAATAGTTAAAGTCCGCAAGAATAGGCGCAGGTCGTGTTGGTTACGCCGGAGTTGGCGGTTGGAAAAGCATTTGGCAATTTTATTAACCGACAGCAGTTAATAGAACGGTTGGACCGGATTATAATTAACGAATGCCACGTAATTTTAGATTTAGTAGGCGGGTGGAGGAGCAGGATATTGGCGTTGAGGAATTTAGTTATAATAGAAACGCAGTTGGTGTATTTAACAGCAATAATCTAGCCCCAAGAAGAGAAGGAATTTATTTAATTAATAGGGTTGCTAGCCAGGGAAGAATACTAGTGGTTTCGGGGGCTAACAACGCGGAAAAACATTATATACCGCATTTAACGATATAATATGCAATAGGAAAAGGACGCAGTTATTAAGTTAGTAGAGAGTTTAAAGCAGAAGCACGCAGGGGGGCAGGTAATTATATATTGCGACACGGTAAAGAAGACAATTCGATTGGCAGAAGTTTTAGAGTGCGTTTATTTCCACTAAAATATAGGAAGCAGTAAGAAGAAGAGCAAGTTGGTAAAGCAGTTAACTAAAGGGCGACAGCAGGTGTTTACAGCTATAAACGCATTGGGGTTGGGCATTAATGCGCTAACAATTCGAGCGGTAGTGCATATTAGAACAATTCGAAAAATACGGCATTACGCGCAGGAGAGCGGAAGGGCAGGGCGTAATAGGCGGAAGAGTAAAGCAATAATTATACACGGATTCCGAACAGATAAAAGGGGCGTTGTTTATAAGCAGGATTTTGGGGAGGACGTTAAGAAGGAAATACAGGGATTTATTATAGGTAGGAGTTGTATAAGAAAGATAATTAACGGTGCAATAGATAGGAACTAAGAGCGAGTAGAATGTAAAGAGGGGGAACAGAGATATTAGCAATATCGAGCGCGTTTAGGGGTAGCGGTTAATAAAGAGGAGGCAGTTATAGAAGCCGAAGCAACAACCGATATAGTAGTTGCCAACAGGGATATAGATAAGATTGTTTCGATTGATTAGGATATACGCGCCAGCACGACAGTTGTAATTAAGAACGCCGATAAGCCCGACGACGATGCATAGGGCGTTACCACAGCAGACAGCATGTTAGGGGTACCACCAGCAACGCCCCGGATGGAAAAGAAGGCGGTTGCAGAGAGAGTGGAATTTAAGCAGCAGTTGTCGGTTTAAAAGGCATAAGTAATTGGAGAGGCAAGTTTACAGTCGATAGAAGCGTTAGAGGTGGATAGATTGGTTGAATTAATAGAGCAGTAGAAGGTGGGTTGCCAGCAATATTAGGCATAGAAGGAAAGGAGTAAGGGGCACGATATTTAGCATTGCAATAAGCCGGAAGCGGAGAATATTCGGGTAGCAATTAAGATGTTTCGAGAAAAGATGAACCCGATAAAGAAGGCGCAAGGGAAGAGGGCGAAGACGTTGTGGGCACCGTTTTTAGGGTATTAGGAGTGCGGATTGCTATAGGGGGTTTGCGTAAGTTATAAAAAGGATATAACGCGGGGAGGGTGGCAGAAGCAAAGGGGAAAAAAGTGTTAGTATAAGGGAGTATTAGCAGCAGCAGTGTACGCAGTGTAGGTGCGGTATCCTAAGGAGTTTAGAGATTTCGTTAAGAAGGAGATGTAAAAGAGGGGGTGGAAAGAAGGCAGCAACGGGGATTAGGGAAGCGTGTTACAATAGTTTGGCGGGAAGGTTTAATAGGGTGGATTAGAGTTAAATTGAATGTGTTAGGGATTTATTAGATTTATAGAGCAGGTTGGGAGATAGGAAGTTTAGGGTTATTAGAGTTTTAAAGGGGGGGTAGGTGGGTGCCCGTGTGGGGTTAAGGGAAGGCGGCGGCAGCAAATATTTAAAGTAGGATAAGAAAGCAAGTGTTAAGTATAGAGTAAGAGTTTAAAAGAGTTTGTTTTTAAAAGGGGGAGGTAGGTGGGTGCCCGTGTGGGATTAGGGAAAGGCGGCGGCAGCGGATGTTTAGAGTAGAGTATAGAAGTAAGAGGGAAACGTAGAGTTAGAGTTTAAAAGGGGTGTTTTTTAAAAAGAGGGGGTGGGTGGGTGCCCGTGTAGGGTTAAGGAAAGGCGGCAGCAGCGAATATTTAAAGTAGGACAAGAAAGCAGGTGTTAAGTATAAAGTAAGAGTTTAAAAGGGGTTGTTTTTAAAGAGGGGGTAGGTAGGTGCCCGTGTGGGGTTAAAGGAAGGCGGCGGCAGCAAATGTTTAAAGTAGGATAAGAAAGCAAGTGTTAAGTATAGAGTAAAAGTTTAAAAGAGTTTATTTTTAAAAGAGGGAGGTAGGTAGGTGCCCGTGTAGGATTAGGGAAAGGCGGCGGCAGTGGATGTTTAGAGTAGAGTATAGAAGTAAGAAGGAAACGTAGGGTTAGGGTTAGGGTTAGGGTTAGGGTTAGGGTTAGGGTTAGGGTTAGGGTTAGGGTTAGGGTTAGGGTTAGGGTTAGGGTTAGGGTTAGGG